TTGAGGACGGCCCGGTTCATTATGGAGGGATTCGGGCGTTGCAGCACTCAGGCTTGCAAATTCAATGGAAGTGAAACAGAGCATTGCACCCCGAATCCTAGACCCTCTGAGTCTTGACACTGTTACCATGACCGCGCGATTGCATAGTGTCGAATCCCTTCTGGATCTTCTGTGTGCTTTCTGAGCCGATCCCATCCGATAAGAGCGGCGAGACACATGCGGAGGTCAAAGGGGTCGAGTTGCCTGCAGTGATTGCCATAACTTTGCTTTTGGAGGTGGATGTGGTGCTGTGTGCAACTTTGGCGGCATCTTTGCCACCACTCGTATGGGCCAAGGCAAGATGCTAGTTAACCACAGGTTCAGATGGGTTTCGTTTGAAGTTGCCGGCTGAGAGGTGCGGCTTGGAGTTGTATGTGGAGCACAATGCCGTGAATTGAACTGTAACTGGCAGCATGGCCAGGATGAGTCAAGTCGAATGGGTGCCGTTGTGGCGGTTCTTGCAACCGCAACGCACTCCAAGAGAAGTGTTGATTGACAATGCTGGGGGGGGGGGGTGCTTACTGGGTGTATCAGCCGTATTTGGCCGTGTCTGACTGCTTGTGGGCAGCATGGCCTTTGCTCGCTCGAAGGATTGCACCCGAATATCCCGTCCACCATTGAGTCATTGAGGGTGCCAGCTGCTGGCATGATCCAACTCCGCAGCCGTTGCAGCGACCTGAAGAGCAGGTGCGCGAAAGGCCTGGCACAATGTTGCCAAATGCAGTGCCATCGCAAGACTGGAGCCATGGACCAAAGACTCCTGCAGAAAAAACGGATCCCTTCGCGGAGATCCACAAGCGCTTGGACCAAATTTCCGAGAAGATGGACCGTTGCCTGGCAGAAGTCGCCGCCGCGGCGCGAGGAGCGCCGGCTCCGGCTCCGAAGCGCTCCAATCTGCTGGCCGCCCGGTGTGGGGATGTGACTCTGACTTTGCGACTTTGCGTATTAAACGTATGTGAGCGCGAGTGCGGGTGTGGAGCGTCTGAGGCTACAGTGCCTGAGCCCTCTCAGATGGCAATCCTTCCGGAGTCCAGCGAGCCGCAGCGGCTGGGTTCGCTCGCCGCCAGAGACTCCAGGGTTAGTTCCTTTTCCTTGCGGCCGTCGGCTGCTTTCGCTTCTCGACCCTCCAGAACCTAAGCTGAAAGTATCGACTAGAACGGCTTGAGGCTCAGGTTGTTGAGATTTGTTGAGTGTTGACCGTGGCCAACACAGGAATGTCGGTGAACTCCAGCTTCCACTGTGCGGCTTCCAGAGTGTCTCTGGCCATAAACGAAAGAAAGTCTGCTGCCAGCCTCACAAAAAGTGCGGCCGGTCTGCCGCGGGAGTCGTTGGCCGTGCATTTGATACCCTTCAACGAGTACGGGCAGCCGGAGGTTGGAGGGTGTAACCCCCCAAAAACACACCCTTTTCGATGGGAGTGGGGGATCTGTTTCTAGAGGTTGAGTTGGATTATTATTCGTTGGCCTGCTGGGGATGCTAAATCCGCATCTCCGGCACCAGCGCACCGCAGGCGGTCACGCGCCAAGAGCTGGCTAACAGGCTCAACCAGCGACGTCGGCGGGGCGTGGAGTCTGCAGAACGGCAAAGGAGAGCGAAACTCGTTTCGACTTCAGGAGTTGCTGTGGAGGGACGTTGCATTGTCGATGCTGTGACGTGAACTCTTACAGGAAACGCATGGTTGCATGTGTTTCGGCCCAACTCCCCCTAACCCTGCCCTGCACTGAAAGCAGAAAGGGTGTCTAACTCCGAAACCGAAATGACACGTATTTGCAGTTTTCGCGGTACTTTGTGTTGTCGGCTATCTCGTGCACTTCCAGTTGCGGAAGACTGATCCCTGGCTGTCTTGGCTGCTGTCTGCATTTTGGAGCCATGTGTCTATTGCATCGGAATTGCAGTCGAGCATGGGCTTCCTCCACTGCTTATTGAATGCCAAGCCTAACGCTTCGGAAAGTGTGGTGCTTTCAACCAGTTGTGCTTCTGCTTTCTGCAGTTTCCTGGCGCTTGAATTTGGACCGCTGGTGTTGCAGTCTGTATAATGTATGGCGGAGCTTTGTTTCGAACCGGGTATGTTAAGGCACGCTCCCTGGGCGACCCCGGCGACAACGTCAGACAAGTCGGTCAAAGTTGCGCAGTGGCTAACGCGCCGTTCTCGATGCGACCGGCTTTGGGAGGCATTTGCCCAAGATCCCCCAAACCTTGACAACTCTCTTCCCAGCGTGACCTAGTTCCCGACTCACAGCACCCAACGGTATGTGCCCGACTTTTGCACCCGACCCTCCAATGCCTTCGCAGATCCTGGATGATCCACATTCCAGCTGGCTTGCCTGGGTACTATCAATGAGCTTGCGACTGACTGTTGTGCTTAGCCTTGCGGTGACACTCCTTCAAACAAGCCAAGAGGAGTCTTTTCTGGATGCGCAAGTTGCAGCCGTGTTAGAGACAGCCATCGACTCCATCTTTCTTCTTGAGTTCATGTGCCGCTTGCTCTCTGCACCGTCCAAAGCCACATACTTTGCGGATTTGTACAACTGGGCAGACATGCTGGCATCGTTGGGGCTGATTTTTCGGGCTAGCACGGGCTTCATGACGGTGGCGTCCGGAGCAGACGCCGTGCAGGGATTCCTCTTGTATGTGCTCCCAGCAACTGGTCGGCTTCGGACGGTGATTCTCTACTTCAAGGGTGTCGTTATGTGTGTTCCATACAGATCAACAGAACCCAGGTCGTGCGCCTGCTGAAGTTGCTGCGGTATTTTGAGTCGTTGAGGCTGCTTGTGGATGCTGCAGCGAATTCTGTGGAGGCATTGCCGGTCCTCTTTTATACCCTGGCCTTCGGGTTCGGTTTCAGCAGCCTTTGTTGTAGTAGCTTAAGCAAGGCTGATGTAAGGTTTCTCACCGCACACTCTGGCCGGTTGTTCTGCAGAAGGCGAGCAAACGCTCAAAAAAACCGTAGCAGCCGCGCTACCGCTACTATCATGGAGCAGCAGATGTGAAGCAGCAGAGGTTCTGATTACACTGTCCTCTGCGACTATCATCTACCTCGTGGAGGTCCGGTCGAACATCCCCAGCCTGGCACACGCAATCTGGCTTGCGATCGTCACCATGACCACTGTCGGAGACGTGTCGTGATTAGTTCAGGGTTTTACAGCTCAAGCAGTTCTTCGGGGCAGTCCACCTGGTTTCGGGGACGGCTGTAGCCGTGTCTATATCCAAGCCCCGAAAGCGAGAGATCCAAGATGATGGAGCTATCGCCAGGATACGGCGACTATGCCCCGAAGAGTGTGTCCGGCTACCTCTTCGTTTCCGTTCTGACGACCGTCAGCGTGCTCTTTTTCGCCTTGCCGGCTCTTCGGCCGAGCCGTCTTGGTGTAAGAGGTCCGTACTTTTGAACGGTTGCACGTTTGTTGGCCGGCCGTGGGTGGCGGGTCAATTCAATGGGCCCAGTTATGCTGAATCTCTTGGCAGATGGTTGAGAGTATGTTGAGAATCTGCATTTCGACAGCCAGTACAATTTGAACCTGACGCATCCAAGGTTGGAATTATAGGGCATGAGTTCACCGCAGCCTGGCACATGCGGCGGCAAGTTCTCCTGTTCGCCAGGGTGCGCAAGTGCTTCCTGAAGTGGGGTTCCTGCGCTGATCGAAGGGTGGAGGGTAGTCAGTCGTATTTTTGATGATGTGGATCGAGGGAGGATCTGCCTGTAGCAAGAATTCCGTTTCGAGTTCGGCGCGATGGCAAAGTAATGAGAAATGGCTGGGCTTAAGGCTTCAGGATCTCTGAGTGCTGAGCTTGATTGTAGCGAGCGGTGCGAGAGGTGGCACAGAGTCCGATCTCCTGCTCGATCCTTTTGCGTAGAAATGGCTTAAGACTTCTTAGCAGGACTCTCAGAGAGCAGCTGCTGAGGCTACGATGGCGAGGATGTGGAGGCGCAAGGGATATGATATCCTGCAATTGCCGGGTCGGGCTTCGTCGCAAGGATCCGGACTGCGAACCGAGTGCTCAAAGACCTGAATTCAGCCACCCTAGAGTCGAGGCACTTTTCCAATACGCAGACGCGGATGCTGACGGCATGCTGAACCTGCTGGAGTTTTGTGAGCTGCTTCACGAGATGAGATTGGGACTGGATACCGACAGCCTGATCGAGCTGTTCATGCTGCTTTGCTATTTTACATGGTCACACTGCTGGGGCAAGTCAGTGCAAGGCGACATGCATACTGGCAGAAACCCACGCGAGAAGAGAGTGACAAGACAGACAGTTCAACTATCTGTTTAGCACCGGGTCCATGCTGTTCTCTCTAAACTCCGGGTGGACATTGCCATTTGCCATACGGAATGTGCGTCGCGTGTACAGTTCAAGATATTGCAGCGCTGCCGAGGCTCTTCGATCCGGGAAATGAGGGATTTATTGAGTTCAGTTCCTTGCTCAGGCGGCTCTTTCCGGAGCCATGGCTGTTTTGGGAAGCATGGCTTTTGCTACTTGTAAGTGCGCTTCTTGACGGCTAAGTTGTGGTGTATCTGTAGCAAGCCAGGCTAGTTCGACTGCTGAACTTACAAGCAAGGACTATGCTGAGCTCGACGAAGAAGAGGCTGAACAAGGAGATCAAGACAAGTCGGAGTAACAAAGCTATGTGTTCCGAGTATGTCCTGATCATGCTTAACCTGAGCCGAAGTCTTGCGTGTGCTGGTTTGTATTCGGGTGGGTCGTTCTGCCAGCACCAGTCTGTAATTCGGGTTTCAGAACTGGGCCTGTGCACTCGTTCTGCGGTGGGTGAGAGAGTGTTGTAGGCTCCGCGGAGGAATAGTGGGTTTCTCGACCCAGTAAGGCTGCTTGTGAAGCAAGCCGTCTTCGTCAAACAGGAAAGGAGCATTGCAAAAAGCAGAAGTGCTTTCCGCTCCGAGTGTCTTTTGTTTTGTACAATCGTAGAAATTCGCTGGATCCGTACATCACTTGGACTGCCGCTGTGATGTTGCAGAAGTTTGTACTGCCACCGATCTTGCAGACCACCATCATGCACCACGCGTTCCGCGCTCAAAAATGTGCCACGCTTCATGAGCCAGCGATGTGTTGCCTTCTGTCAGTTAAGGCCGTGGGGCCGTGGGGTGAACTAGGTGCCTCTCCGTCTGCATGTAGCCACACCCTCGTGGAGCTTTCCAGCAGGCCTGCCAGATCTTGCGGACTGCCCGGAGCTGCGATCTTCAGGCCGGGCATGCTCGCTGCGATTGCTTCAAAGAGTGCTTTCAGTACCCCGCAAATCCGAACTGTTGGAAGTTTTACTCCATGAAGTGGCATAGCCAGTCGTGGAGCACCGAAGTCGCCGCCCCTAACCTCGAACCCTATATCGGCCATCCCTCCCTCACTGAACGGCAGAGTCAGCAGAACTCCTGCAGTCCGCATGCAACAGAGTTTGCTCATGGCATTCGCCGGGTACACATCGGTCACATCGGAGGATTGTGGGTGCAGGCAATGTTGGCACTAACTTCAAGTAAACCCGCATGCCAGCCGTTGGCACAAAGCTCTTGAATTCGGGCTTCCGCGACACAGGCTGAATCGACCGCCACACAATTCTGGAGCCAGAGCCAAGCAAGCTTGATGTTGCCGTTTGGGGTATGCAGGGGGTGCTGTTCGGGCGCCAAGTGCAGGTGGATTCTGCACTCACCAACGCCGGCCTTCTGCCGCTTGTAGCGAGGCCAGGCGTGCGCCTCGCGTGTCTCCAGATTGTAAGCAGCTGATTCGCCGGACAAAGCTTCAACTCTTTGCGAGTCGCATGGCCGCTGTAGCTAGAGCCCGCAGATGCAAGCCATGCACGCCCGAAAGCGAGCGCCTAAAGACACGCGTCGCGCGCACGGCCCAAACCCAGCTTGCCCAGTGGTGCGGACTGGAGTCTCGCTCTGGCGGCCCTTGGTATCTTCGGCCGGGAGCTTCAGCCAAGTGACGCTCAGCCGAATTCTCGGCCTTAATTACTGCATGGATTCCGCTTGCATTTGGCGTCAGATGCGCGACGCATGCATTTCTTCAGCTTCTGTTTTGGTTGCTACAACTCTCGGTAGGGCTGTGCTATGCCGTGCCCGCCAACTGGGGACACTCCGTCTGAGAGCTGTGCTTAGGGATAAGCTTGATCCCAGAATCTGGAGCCCGGACTCTTGCCTGGGCAAGGAGATCTCGCTGTCTCTCTCCGCACGTGTGGCTTCGTGGCCGGCTGCGATGCGCCTCGTCCGGTCTGGGAAGGAGGCCCGGCCAGGACTGTAATCCGAATGATTCGAGCCGCTGCTCCCTGCCTGCCATTTGGCAGATTTCACTGCGGCCGAACCTTCTCGTGCTGGCAGCCGTGCTGCCATCGCTGCCTTGCGCCTGGGCGCAGGTGGAAGCTGCAGCGCCGGGTCCAGTTTCATAATGGTTGAACTCACCGAAGGTTCCAAAAAGACTTCAAAGAGCGTGCGCCGAACCGTCCTACTGTCCCCGAGCAGAGAAGCAGCTTCCAAATCCTGAGTTTTTGGTACACCGGCCAATCAAAACATGCATTGCGAGGGCCTTTCGCTGCGAAGGGTTGCAGCTGCGGCGGGCCTCGGCTGGGACAGGGTGGTTGCCAACCTTGTGGCGGCCAGAAGCTGAGTTTCGGAAAAGACGATTTGTTGGGTTCTATATGTCTTGGGGCCAAGACTTCATTCAAAGCGTTCGGCCCATGGGACCCATGAAGCTGGCGTTGTAGCAGGTTGTGCTACGACATGCAGGCGCCGCTCTCCGTCCGTTCTCGTACGGCGTTCGCTGGGGAGCGCTCGCACGAAGCAAGTTGGGATCCCAACAAGCAGGGGGAATTCCTTCAAGCGCCAAGAGACTTAGAGACTGTCTCCCGAAGGCTCCGACGGCCCCTAGCACTGTGGCCGTCCGAGGCTTCGTGTGCGAATGCCGGGCGGTGGGCCGTGTCCCTGCACCAGCTGCCTTTGCGCAGGGACGAGGCAAGGCGTCATCAAAAACTTCGGGGATCCAGTTCACGCAGTTTTGTGGCTTCGGGAGGGGCCTCGTGGGCTTCTGGGGAGTCATTCTAACACGCGGTGCCATATGGCATAACGCATCAACGGGCATTTTCTTTCCACCTGCTGCCCTAGGTGACTCGAACCGTGGTTTGCGAGACATGCGCAAAACTGACAGCACAAATTAAAGTACTGCGGCTGCACTGTGTGGGACATACACATACAGTTGCACACCATACGAACGAATCGAGTGAGCAAACAAACTTCGACCGTCATGAGTGTGCAGTGGCACGAAAGGGTATGCAATTCATCCATCATGGGCTCGGAACTTCGGGAGTACACGAAAGCCAGCAAGATTTGGGGCTTAGGCAAGTGCCAGGCCCGCGATGGCAGTATCCTGCTGGCCACGCGATTGGATTTTGAACCCGAAGCTATTGTACAGATCAATCCGCATACCGGGCTTTGTCATCGCGACCTGTAGAGTTTTGTGGAATGTCCAGGCCAATCATTAGGGCATTAGGGATCATGTGGGCCATATCCACGGTACCAATGCTGACAAGAGCAAGCAGGTCCAATCATCCCAGTTGATGCGCTCTGATGGGTGCCAGCAAGTTGCAAGGGTGACACAATCCCGCATCCACGTTGGCAGAGACAGAGAGAGAGAGAGAGAGAGAGAGAGAGAGAGAGGGAGGGAGGGAGGGAGAGAACGAGCAACGTTACGTTTGCAGCCCGTTGCTTTGCACACGGTTGCTGAGCCGAGGTAGGAGAAGTTGTCATAGTTGTAGTGGTAGGCATCGTCGTGGTCGCCGTTGTACGAGCAGTAAGCAGATGGTTGCTTCAGGCCTGGAAGATTGAATGAAGTCGATAGACTACACGCAAGGGATGTCAACAAACCCGCGGCAAGGTGTCCGTCGGAATCGCGGTGGACTGCTGTGGTCAAGGAGAGCCTCGCATGCTGTGTCTAAATTTTAGATGTTGTTCGGGATTCAGCCTGTGGCCGCACAGAAGAAATTTACCTAGCGCATCCCCACCAGTCTGCATCCCAGAACACACACCTCATAAATTCGCGCAGGCTTATGTGTATGGATGACAGGTGGTTGCCTCTCTTCAAAGTCGCGAGCGAACAAGCAGCGGAAACCTGTCCTGAGCCCACCAACTCCAAGTCTTGTGATGCTTCTTTGTTGAGGGCGACAGCTTTGGATTCAGAGAAGCAAGTTGATGGGAAGAGGTCATCGAGTCTTCTGACACTTTTCGGAATAAGGTGTCTGACACATGGTCTGCAAAGTTCTTTCTTCAGAAGGCCGGCTCTGGGGCGGTGCGCTGCGACTTTTGGCCTGGCTGCACGCTGGGCGGCTAGCGGCTGGCCGTAGATGTGGGGCTGCATGGGCATGGGGTTTTGCGGGGCCTCGCAGACCTTCATGAGACATCACTGAGGAGACCTCCCAGAGCGCCTTCGGGGCAACGGCGGCGCAGCAGTGGTCGCAGGAGCCATGAAAGCCACGGCAGATCACAGCCTTTGCCAAAACCCGAAGCAGCTACGAGCTGCCGGCTTGCTTCCTTTGAAACCCCTTCCGCTCCGCAACATAATTCTGGCACCTGGACCGATAAAGCTCATCTTACAGTCTTACAGCCGTGTCGGGTCTTACTTTTGACATTCTGCGACAAGCACGAGCTCAAAGCGAATGGCCGTTGTGAGCGAGTGCAACAGCAAGGGTACAGCCCGCAGCTGGAGTGCAGGCGCTTGCTTTGTTGCGGTGGTTGTGGCAAGTCGGAGATCTCGAAGGTGTTTTGGCCTCATGTTGAGAAATCTGTGGTGAGGTGTGCGTTTCGTTTTGCTAGGAACCAAGATTCAGGTGCTGGCTGTGCCCTGCCGGCGGCCATTCAGTCTTGCAGCGACCTGAGAAGATGCACATCTTTATGCTCGAGTTTGTTGAGACATCAGGACTTTGTTGGCGCCAGGTTGGAGATCTGTTGCGCTGAATTCTGCGAGCTTGCTTGCATGGGGATGGGCCCCTTTCAGGCAAGCCCAAGCAGGACAAAGGTTGAGGGAAGGCTTCCGGGCGAAGATTCAAAGCATGCACTCCGATATCGGTTTCCCGAGAGATAGAACACAGATGTGTCGGCAGTGCCCGAAGCATCACTCGTTGTCATTTGTTGTAGCTTCTCAGTTGGTGCACCAGGAGCGTCGGAAGTCGGAAAGCGAAAGCCGATTGGGTATGATAAAGGCTTGTTCAAGATACTTGGGCTTGCGTGAGATCCGGATCCCGAGTCCTTCTCGGAGAGTGTAGGCCCAACCCCTGTTTAACATGAGCAAAATCCGAGCGAGCCGCCTGAGCCGTGAGAGTCAAAGTCGCAGGCCCCAACCATGTGCGAAGGCCAGTGTGCATTGCAGCCGTAACTGTGATTCCACTCGTAACTTCACTCGGAAGAAAGAAAAAAGTCGGACAAACTTGCTCAGAGGCCCTAGCTTCCGCCTCTTCGCAGCATCCTTCTCAGCTTCTCAGGCACTTCAACGGCGCCTGGACGGTGGTCCCTGGCATTGCATTGAACCCAGAATCGCCAACGGCCTTTGTAGCCTAGCTGAAAGTTCCAGCAGAAGAACTGAAGAATTGAGAAACGCTGGCCGAATTGTTATGCATTGCACGCAGTGCTTAAAATAACAACCAGGTTGTTGCCGGAGGCAGAGTCTTCACGATTGTCCCCGTCGAGCCGTGGCTCAGAGGGTGTCTCCAGCTGGCTTCTGGCCCGCTGGGACTTGCGGGCACTAGGTGAAGAACCGTTTTCCCTCGAGCCATGGCCGCTGTGGACTTGCCCACAGAGGCCCAGCTTACGGGGATCACCACCGTGGCCCAGGCCATCGCGTGGGTGGGACTCGAGGCGGGCTCTTGGGCGGCCGTTGACGTGGCACTTGGCAGTCTTCAGATCTTGGGGAATGTTCCTGCCGATGCGCTCCGGCTTGCAGTCCATGCCGCGCGCATCGCCGTCCCCGAGCATGGCACTGCGGGTGAACCCGGCCATACCCCCGCGAGCGAGCGGGCCTTACGGTCGTGGAGTCGACGCAGGTGGGGTTGCTTTGGAAGGTGGCGGCACAAAAACCGGAAGGCCATCGCGGAGCTCTTCCTCACGACACCCACTCCCACCCTGACTTCGGGGGGAGGGGTGACAGGCGCAGGGCCCGTGGCGGCGGCCCCAGCCACAGCTGGGCCGGACCCAGCCAAGAGGAAGATAAAGGTGAGCAGCGCTGGACCAAGCCGACGAGGCTGAGGTCCCCGAGCTCAACAGGGCAGAGGTCGATGGCTACTTCAAGGTGCTGGAGAAGTACAAAGAAGGACCGGTCAGGCCTGAAACTGAACCCTCCCCGGAGCAGGTGTCGGCCCTCAGGCTGGTGGACCTTGACATGTCCCCCTATGCGGACTTCGCCCTGTTCGTGGGCTTCCAGCACCGCTTCGCCAAGAGCCTAAGGTTCAAGAACCACATTCTGCAGCCCGACGGCTCGTTCAGAACGGTGGAGGTGCCAGGCCCCCCGAACTATGATGCTTGGTTAGCATCGTGGTCCGTGTTCGAGAACGCCCTCCTCATGTTCGAAGTCAAGGACGCGACGGGGGAAAGGATCGCCATGGTGACACAGAGCACCCTGGACCATAACAGGGATCGGTTCCGAGAGCTGGTGATTCGGTACCTCCAGGTGTGGCACCTGCTGGTGGTAGCCGGACCACGACCAGGAGAAGGTGGTGGTGGTGTGCCCCACCCCGAGCCTAGGGGAGGGAAGCAGGGGCGGGGGAGGCAGGCGGGAAGCCTGCTTTCTTGGGTGCGGGAAGCGCTGCGAGGCACCGGCTTCAAGGTCTGGGACCCACTAGACAAGAACGGGGAAGGTGCAATGTGGGACCTTAGCAAGGACGATGTCTTCGTGGAGACGTTGGAGATGAGCTGCAAGCACAAGCCGGCCTGAATCCACATGCCCCCCCCCTGTAGGACCTTCACCGGCACAACCGCAAGAAGCCAGGGGCCTTGAGCAGGAAAAGGGTGGAGAAGAGAAGGAAGGAGGGCCGGGCGGGGAGCAGTGCGTGTACGGCGCGGGCCCACCAGAAGCGACGGGGCTGCTCACCAACGGCGAGTGCTTTCTCTCACTGGCGCGGCGGTGCCGGCATCCAAAGCACACCCACACACCGCTCAAGGGCAAGGTGTGGTGCGAGGAGAGCGGCCGAGAAGTTTGGCGAACCTCGCTCGCGGCGGCAAGGGGCACCTAGGAAAGGGGCGAGGCAGAAGCCCGTCCTCTTGGAACCAGCTCGTTCGACAGAGTGCCCCCTGAGCACCCACAAGCACCGCCGCCCAGGAGGGAGAACGAGCTGTGCATAGGAGGAATGAGGGTCCGACCAGCTCAGTGGAGAAGCAGTGGAGTCGGCGAAAGACCTACATCAGGCCTTCCAGGAACTTCAGCGCTGAGTCGGATGGCAAGCAGTGGGCCTCAACGTTTCTCTTGGCAAAGGCAGGAGCAGCCGCGGCGGCACGGCCGCGGGAGCCGTGTGCCCAAGTGGCTGGGAGGCGAGACCGCTGGGCGAATGAGAGAAGGCGTCTTCCCGCCCGCGCAGGGCCAACAGAGGCGCTCGCGTCCTACGAGTTCCTCGTGTCCCGGACCAGCTGGGACGTGGACGACAACTACGCGAGCTACGCGCAGAACTGGGAAGAGAGCCGGGGAGAGCTGGAACGCCTGGTCGAGGAAGGCCACCTCGAGCGCACAGGCCTGGGAACAGGTTGGAGCGATGGCCGGGAGCCATTGGCACCAAAATCGCCACCCTTGTCAAGGCGAAGCCGGACGGCGCACTGAAGGTTCGCTTCGTTGTTGTTGTTGTTGTTGTTGTTGTTGTTGTGGAAAGGCGGCGTTCGGGGGTGAACGGCGCCGCTCTGTGAAAAGCATTCCCCCAAAGCCCGTGGTGAGGCGTCGAGAAAGTGGACCTGCTTGCTGGGCCGCAGCGTGTGCAACCGCGAGATGCCAGGAAACTACGGATCCAGAGGAGAGGGCGACCATCCACAGGAACACGGTACCTGGCGGTCTTTGCCTCTGCACCGCGTCCAGGGCCCCAGTTGAACAACTCATCGCCCTCACAATCACCGCCAAGTTGACCTCGAAAGAGGCCATCTGTAACCGGATTGAGCAGAGATCGCCAGATCGAGACCTTCGAGCACTAATTACCGCAACACCCTCAACGTCGAGGCATCCCGGATAGCCGAGAGGGCAAGGAGGTCCCCCAAAGACTCAGGCGCACTCCGCGGGATCCTTTCCCGGCGGAGCTTCTGGCTTTGGCGATGAAGGCGCCCAGGACCCAGGACAAGAAGGAAAAGAAGGAACAGAGGAAAAAGAAGGCAAGAGGAGGAGGCTTTCAAGAAGAGGAAAAGATAAGGCAACATGGCTGAACTTAGCGCCCGCCCTCTCCCTTCAAGAGTCACCTCGCGCCCCGCAGTCTGGCTTCAGCCGGTTTCCCCCGTTTTTCAGGGCGCCCATGCTGCTTGTGGCGCTTTGGCTGCTGGATAATCCATGGCTGTGGGCGGGCGGGGAGCTTTTGCTCCTGCTGCTGCTGACCTGCGCGCTGTTGGCTTACGGGCCTCGCGCCTGCGGCAAGGCGGGGTCGGGTGCTGAAGGACGGCAAGACCCGACAGGAGGGGGTAGCCGACGGAGGAAGAGGTCTTCGGACCTTCGTGGGCCCATGGGGCCCGGGGCAGGAAGCCCCCTGAGAAGGAGGACAGCAAGTTGAGAAAAATGTCCCAGACTTTTTTTGGGTGGTTTGGTGCCACAGTCCAGAGATTTGAGAAGTCTCCTGTGACATTGGAGCCACTGCATTCTGGCTCAATAGTTTTTGTAGTTTTTTGGACTCAGCGCCCTTGCAACTCTTGAGCAAGCATGGACAAGGAGGTTCTACCAGCAGCTGAGGCTTCTAAGAAGCTTCGGCCAACAAATCGGCAAGCGTGCTGGTTTCTCATTTGGTTTGGCTTGCTCGTCATGCCACTGTATTGTGCAGCAGGACACCAGTGGAAGTCCTTCAGCAGCAACTTCTCTGACAAGGACAACTTTTCTTGCATTGCACGGAGCGCATTCCAAATCCAGATTTTCACAGTGATCATGAGGATGATGATGTTCCCAGAAAGAAGTTGTGCAATAAGAAGATGACGTGGCGTCGTCCTAGCACACTTCCAAACTATCTTGGAAACAACTTCTGCAGAGTATCTGGCATCACTCCACTGGTTTGCTTCAGACTCTTCCTACATAGCAGCTCGAAAACAAGCAGGAGTGAGCATTAAGAATTGGAGAGGCTTTTTCACCAAGATCAGAAACATTTTGCGGTTGTCTGTCGCTCGTTTCAGTTCTGCACAGCTCGGTGGTGACAGAAGAATTGTTTGTGTGGATGATACGTTTTTGACAAAGAAGAAGCACTGCAAGGGTGGCTTCAAGGCTTCAAGGCCCGTGCCACTGCAGGCACGAAGAAGATCGTACTCGGAATGCTTGAGTTGGATTTAAGCACTGGCAAAGCCACAGGACGCTGTTTGCTGGTCGAAATTCCCGACAGAACAGCTCGAATTTTGAAGCTTACATTCGGAGGCACTTGTTGCTGGTAGCTTGGTTTTTCCTGACAAGTTCAAGAGTCATCAGTGGATGTCCAAGCTCAAGCCGACCTGGGGCTTTGTCCACCGTGCTGTCAACCACAAGCAGAGAGCATTTTCCAGAAGGGACACAATCTTCGGGAAAAGAGATTGTTGTGTCTACGAACGCTGCTGAAGGGCTTTTTGGCCGACTTAAAGCGTGGATGCGCACTACAGCTGCCAAAAAGGTCAGTAGAAGAAGCCGGGAGCCGCTGCAGAAGCTCCAGCCCGGCCGTGTTGGGAAGAAGAACGGGCCCGTAGCGGGCGAGATCGGCGGGGCCCTCGGCATCCCCCTCCCTGGGCTCTGCGGTTGCCCGTGGCACGGCTGGGCGCTGGGCGATGCTTTCTCGGAGATTGGCTGGAGGCGCGAGGAGCCAGCCAGGTAGGACTGGCTTAGGCTTCGCACGGTTTCTGGACAGTCCCGCGACGGATGCCATGACGGCCCCGAGTCGGAGCCCTCTTCATAATCCTCCTCTTCATCCTCCTCGTCGTACTCACATAAGAGTAGTCTCTGGAGGGGGCTCCTCGCGGGGGTGGCCTCCCTGCTCCTCCGCAGCCGCGGGTTACCGACCGGGGCTCGGGGACCTTGTCTCCCCCGTGCCTTTGCCTGAGACGTGGAGGCTGTCATATTTGGATTTGAGGTTTCTCTGGTGGAAAAGCCGCTCAATGCGGCGATCCCAATCTTGGATAACTGACGCATGATGTTTTGCATTCTCGGGTCTAATGTGTTGAACACTTTGTCGGGGTTGTCGTCCTGTGGCACATTGTCCGTTCTTTGACGAACTTCCCGCGCATCTCGAGCTCGCAAAGAGTCGTGCAAAGCTTGAGTGAAGTCGGATGCAGACGATGCTGCTGTTGGCTCATTTCTGACAACAACTGCCGAAAACTCTCGTTTTGCTGCCACAATA